TGGTGTCCAAACTAATGCATAAAAAACACAAAACAACCCCCCCCCCCCCACCCCAAATGAAAAAAATACGCCAATCTATCAACACACTGCACTAGAAATTCTCTAAAAAGCAAAAATATATTAACCATTGATGTGATTCAAAAATCATATCTCAGGAGCACACTTATTACTCACATCAGTATGTTATCAAATTTTTATCTAAATAAAAATTACAGAAACGAGGGACAATTTCCAGACAACCGGTTTTCTCACACTGAATACAATGTAGCATTTTAATAACAAATGGAAACACTTTCTACTTTTATCCGCTCATGAATGACAGTCACAGTCGTATATCAGTTAATAAAAGAAAAAAAGAAAAGTCTTGAATGTATAAGTGAAAACAAAAATAAAACAAAACGTTTTGAATATGAAAAGAAATAATGAAAATGACTTACTGTGCTCCAGCAATGTCTCCGTTCTGACAGAATCCCTCCACAAGAAGCCCATAGGTTACCTGCAACATAATAAGGGCAGATACATTACATTTATGTATTATTACATTTATAAAAATCATTAACAAACACTTTAAAGGAGCTACAATGCTGCTAAAAATCCAGAGTTCAGCAATGAAGACTTTCAAATAGGTCTTGGTTCCTCAGCTTTGTTTGCACAAGGAAGATTACATTAAGACAGAAAATCAAGTTATGGTGATTTTTTATAGAGAGGTATATGAGGGAAGTAGATGGACAAGACCTGAAAGAATACAATTTATGAAGCTCAACAAAATTGTGGGGATGACTTCCTTATCTGAATTTTATTCTCCGAAAACGAACATTTTCTTTGGATTAGAAACCAGGCATTTTTTTTTACAGCCAACTCGCATGTCAGTTACTCTCAAAACTAAACATCAAACTTACACCAAAAACAAATGTAAGGCAGCGTGGTGAAATCAGAGGCACATCAAAATTCAGATAACAGAGATACAGGCATTTTTCTGCCAGTTTGGAAATTTTTATCAAATTTTTACTTTTGACGCAACCTCTTTTATGTCCATATAAAAACACATTTGCGTGAGAATTTTACTGAAAAACATTGATTAAAGGCACAAAATATGTCATTTTTCTGTTTTCAAGGACACTTTAGCTATTGGAGTTACCAAATTTTGGTGGCCATTTTCTCGCTAACCAGTCGACTTCACTTCCTTCAATCACAAATATCTCGATTTCTATTCAAGATAGATGGATATCTATTTCATTGGAAGCAAGACAAATAAGTCAGCTTTCAGATGGTACCAATAACTCCACATTCCCAAAAATTGACGAGCGCCTGATTCCACTGCGTTGTGACACAAATGCTTTAAACAAATTACCAAAGACAACACTATATCACCTTTTTAACAAAAGAGCACATACAGAAAGGTGTTTGAATTTAATCCCTAGAGTACACCCAGGAAGTTCCCTTTTCGCAAAAAGAAATGTAACTGTAAACACATTACAAGAATAGCAATTAATAAATGCTTTCCATACAATCCCAAAATTTCAGCTCGGGAATTCTTGAAAACAACCATAAATTAATCGGGATATATGCAGAAATGATCTACGGGTCAGTGTACCTTATCTGGATTCAGTCCAAGAGATTTCATATGGGTCAGTTCCTCAAGTGGTTCAAAGCGCTTGCTATTACCACCGAAAGCTTTCAATTTCATGTTGTATAATTTAGTTGAAGGCTCAACACCTGAAATGCAGATTTAAAACAAAAAACAAATTTTGAAATAGGTAAATATTTTCATAGCGCTACGTCTGCTTCTTGTCTCTGAGTTTTCTTTTCAAATGTCTGAGGCATGATAATCAGTTCCTGAGCCTTGGATGACTTTATGAGTCTCACACAATAAATCTCTCATTAAATTTCTTATAACATCAATCCACACTTTTTCTTTCTACCTTCAAAGTCAAAGTTCTCAGGTAATATATAGTGGAGGTGCACAGGGAGAGACTGTGTGTGTGTGTCGTGCATGTGTTTGCGTGTGTGTGTGTGTGCCAGTGTGTGTCTCTGTGTGTGTGTGTTTATTTGTCTCAAATTTTTTATCCTGATTTTTCTAATGTACGCTTTCTACAAAAATATACAAAAGAGACCTAGATATACAATGGGTAAAAAATTATAAAAGTGCGCGATGAATCATATGTGATGATTGCGCTTTCAGTCAAGTCCACCTTTTTCTGTACAGAGAAGATTTGTAAATTACCGAGTTCCTCTAGCCTGCTCCAGACTTCTTCTGTAAGCTGCAGTCTCCGCTCTGTTGGAGCATCGAAAGGCCCAGTGCTACAGATGTAGAGTAGCAAGGCAGCATCCTGCTCACTCAGAGTCTCTGAAATTACAAAACAGACTAAATTTGTTCAAACTGAATAATAATCTCTTCCTATAGTTGTGACAAGTCTAGGTCACCTAGATATTAACTCGCTGTTCCAAGTTGACAATTAAATATTCACACTAATATTCTTCTATTTCTTTCCCCCAACATTGGATTAGGGTGGAATTGCTAAACCGTTCAGGAATGAACTCATTCTAAGCAATTCTGGCTTGCTGTTAAAAAGCTTGCAATAAAAGTCAAACTAAATTACAAATTAGCATCTATAAAAAAAACTACCTGTGAAACTGCCTGAGGTATTAACAATCAAGAAAACAAACAACATTAGCAACATAATTCTTATGATTTTTTTGTTCCAGCATTCCTTACTATACAAGTCTTAACTCCCAGCAGTTTACGCAATACTATATCGTATAAATATATACGATGGTTGGTGATGTGGTATTTCGCCCATAAAATACATTTACCTTTATAAAGAAAGATTTTGTACGGTATTTTTATCAAATAAAAATGACTAAATAGACTCTAAATATAAAATAGGTATTGAAATTGATGGTTTTTAAATAAAATTCTTGCTCTGAAATTTCTACTTTCAAGGGCAATAAACGAGAATTTGTGGAATCCACAAAAACGGCCCTCCTTTCTTTATTTTTCAACAGAATGAGGTGCCTTTTACACTTTACATGCAGAATGGAATATACTTTCTCCCCAAATTATGTAAACTCTAAATTGTAAAAAAAAAAATGTTCTTCTTTGTGATTGTTGGGGCACTCCGATTTCTCTTTCTGCATCTATTTTTAGTAACACGAAAAATATGTCACCCCTCAAGAAAGCTTGACAAATATGAAATCTATTGGCTAGGTCTTAAAGAACATCTAATTCCCTTTCTATTGGTATATGATATGTCAATCTGGAACAGATAGATTTTTGCTGGAGGCTTGAGAGCAAAAAGTCCATGATATGAAATTTCCAGATTCAAGGGCAATAACTAGGAATTGTAGGATGTACTAGAATGGCTCTCATTTCTTTATTTTCCAACAGAATGGTGTATCTTTGACACATAATATGTAGAACTGAATGCACTTTTCCATGAAATAATTGTAAACTCTAAATTCTCAAACACTTTTTCCCTTCTTTGTGACTGTTGAAAAAGTGCGATTTCTATTTTTGTTTCTATTTTTAGTAACAAGAAAAAAAGGTCCCACTTCAAGACAGCTTTACAAAAATGAAATCTGTTGGGTAAGTCTGAAAGACCATCAAATTCCCTTTCCATTGAATATGTCTATCTGGAGAAGATAGGGGGCTCTCGTGGCCTAGAGGTCAAGGTGTTGGCCTCTCATTCAAAGGTCTCGGGTTCGAATCTGGGTAGCGACCGAAAAAATTTTATTTCTAAAATTATCTCCTTTCACCTCCTTTCCTGCTCTCTAGCAATCTCGGGGGGCCTGTGTGCAAGTTGCGCACATTAAAGATCCCATGGTGGTCTAAAATCGATAAGAGTAGGCTTCAGCCACCACCTGGGCAAAATTCAAAATTTCTTACCAACTGAAAAGGTTTAATGTGTCCCGCGCTCATCTCATATAACCTTATGCAGTTGCGAGCATCGTAAAACATTTACCAAAAAAACACAAAAAAACAGTAGAAAGATTATTGCATGAGGCTTGAAGGTTCGGAGGACCCCTGAACCATAAGTGAAAAAGCCAAAATAGGCAAAACAGCTGGGAGTTAATGAGTAATTCTCTAATTTTCATCATTTCCAGTCTTATATTATAACATGCACTCTTCAAACTTATTTCTTAATTAATCATCACCCAAATTACAAACAGAAATAATTAATAGTTGTACAAATAAGCTTTTCTTTATAACCAACCATAGTTCCGCAGGGTAGTGTAAAGAGAATTGAAAAGGTCAGAGGAGACTCCTCTGTTGTAATCAAGCCGTCTGTGAATGTCTGTGACAATTTGATCTTTTTTCTGTGCAGCGGTAGCCAAAAATCTGTCAAGATTGAAACAAGAACAGCATTACTTTGTTATAATATAAGTAAGTAAGTTTATTCATTGGCCCACATCACATCATATAAAACGCCTCATTAGATAAATTAAGTTTCCATAATGAATAAGTACAGATTGTGCATATATCTTTTATCATGGGTCAAACATTGCATATTTCTGTCACTGGGCCGAGTCAGGCAGGGAGGAAATAACAATTTCCTTTGATGGACAAAGTGTGGACAATAGAAAATAAAGTGAAATTCATCTTCAATTTCATGAGAGTTAAATCTCTCACTGAATTAATATTATAACTCTTTGGCAATATATGTAGTTTAAAATGCACATATTGAAATCGGAAGCATACAGAATTGTGCATGAATTTAGCTATTTACTTGTTTTAAATACAAAGATAACAGTATACAAGAAAAAATAAGGAACCTGAAAATCTGTTTGTTATGTGTGTATAATAAGACTATATATTTTATAGGCAAAGAATCACAGACGGAAACAGATTACAGAATGCCAGTAAAACTTCGTACTAATAAGAGTTTAATATGGAGATACCTTTCTTTGGAGGAAGCTACATGTTGCTGGATTTTAAAGCTTTCTAAAATTCTATTCTTGGTTGTACTACTTTACTTTGGCACAAATTTTGACAGTGTTCATAAAATAAGATGCAAATAGAAGAAGACATGACTTGTTAAGTTGTAACTCCCAGCAATAAAAAGGAAAAACAAACGGAAAATGTAGTCAGCTTGTTTCAACCTACTGGCATCATTTCACACCTTTACTAGTTAGTCAGTCTTTCTAGCCATAATATTTCTAGAGAGTCTGGTAACTTAGTTTTAGTATCCCAATGCAAAGTTCTACACAATTCTTAGTACATAAAGACGCACATTATAATCACTTTGATTGGATGATGGTGGAGGAAGGAGAAAGCAGCTTGAAACAAGAGCCAAAAAGCTTGGGTTAGGGTTAGGTCTCTTCTTTATATTGTGTTTGTTGGGGAGGTCGCTTGTTGTGGAAGTCCTTCCTAATATCTGACTGATAAGAGTTGAAACTCAGCATCTCCATCAAACTCTTGACTTAGCATGGCGTCACTTTTCGCCCGATTCTGTTACTTTTAGTTCGCGTGACTCAGCAGCCCGCCGGAGCTCCCCAGCTCGGGGTCACGGGGTTAATGAGCCCTGAAGCGACTTTGTCGGTGTCGGTTAGGAAGTTCGCATTTTTTACCATGTTTAAAACGATATAACTTCTTCCCCATCCCACATAGCAAACCATTACGCGGATGTACTAAAAGCTCAATGTTTTGAGATTTATTCTGCGTTAGAATGGTTAATTTCTGTGCCTTAGTTTTTGTTCTAGACAAGTGTTTGTAGAGTACCCAATTTGTCCTATTTTAGTTACAAACTTATGAATAAATGATTGTTAATTTTAAAAAGGCACGACAGATCTCTCCAAAATCTGTGTTAAACTGACTACGGATATCATGTCTTTTACCATGAGAAATCTTAAATCTGCGCGAGTAGAAATAGTCAAGTTATAAGAGAAGAAAGATGCACATCTGCATTTTTTAACTAAAGACGATCACCGTTAGCTCTTATTTTACTATTAAAGTTACTCTGCCTTTGTTCGTGAATCATGCTGTGTCTGTGGAAGCCTGCATACAACTAAAAAGATATAATATAGAATCTAAGCGATTAAAAAACCCACAAAACCGTGTAAATACATGGGTAGAGATAAACTTCTGATCTTGTTTGGAATAAAAATAGTGACAGCTAACACACATTCATTCTTAGTTTTTGTGTCGGAAATATGCGCTGACACAATTATGAATGTAAAGAAATCAGTCACATTGTCAGTTATTGCAAATGGTCATAGAAACGAAAAAAAAAGCTGGAAAAGTCTAGTGCTAATTCAGTGTCCCTGGAAAGCTAGAAATTATTCTTATAACCCAATTACGAGAAGTCATCCCTATTATTCAGTCAACTTACAAAACCTAGACTTAGCGTTTTAAGAAAAGTAAGGAATTTCTGGAGTGTAACAGATACTGTTTGTGTGTTACATTGAAGATGTATTCTAGCACTAAAATCGATTTGTACTTTTCATAGAGAAACTTCATGGTGACTTTTATAAACTTTCGAGAAAACATGCGAATATTCACGATTATATTAGACACATAAAGTTGTATTTGGAGGAATTACTTCTTAGCGAATAGTGTGCGCGATGGATAAAGTTAAAAAATTACAGCTTTCTATTATATGCGCAGATACCATCTTTTCTGAGTATCTGCACCAATGCTATGTCGTTCATGTTCCAAAAGTTCGACAGATTTTGACGAGGCCTTGTTTTTATATTGATTTTTTTCATTCACACTAGTCAAAAAAAAAATTTCAATTTAGCATTGCCGACTCCAGCGCGTCCAACGAAATAACCAGACAAGTTACAACGTCCGTTCTTTTTTGAGTGTCAAGAGCAGAATGCATGCTTTGGGTGCACTAAATGAAAATAACCATAAATTAAGGATACACCTTAAATTGTACGTTGAAATGTACAAAAAAATTAAGTCGGCCCAGACAGAGCGGCGACAGGGAGCTGATCCCCGTGACCCCGTCGTGATAAGGCGTCCGGCGGGGAAGCCCCCTGCGACAACTTAAATTCCACTGCCGGTGCGCCGTATTAGAAACAATATTGATCAGTAATTTTAAGACTATAGAAGTGAGTGAACGTGGTGAAATCAGGTGATCGTCAAAATAATGTAATCAGGGAAACCGGCATTTTTCTGGCTGTTGGGCAATTTTTCAAAAATTTTATTTTTTTGGCTTCCATGTCATTTTTAAGAACACATTTCTTTGAGGATTTTACTGAAAAATGTTGATAACAGGTAAAAAAAATGTAAATATGAAGTTTCCAGTGACACTCAAGCTTTAGAAATCACCAAACTTTGATGCCATTTTTTTGCTAGTTTTACCTCTGACATCAGGCAACTCCTACCTCCTTCAATCACAAGTATCTTGAATCCTATTCAAGATAGACGGACACTTTTTTTTAGCCAAATGCAAGACAAATGAACAAGGTTTAGGATGATATCGATAACTCTTCATGCCGAAAAATTGACGAGAACCTGATTTCACTGTGTCGAGACACATATAGATCATATAGAGACTTCGCTACAGTAATCTGGAAATGTGGCAGTCAAATCTGAGCCAAGAATCATCATAGTCAAACCATAGTCTACCAGAGCAATCCAAATATTAAATATGAATAAAATGTTGGAAGGTGAAAATACACCATACTCAGCTCTCACTGTCGACTACTAATATAGTGTGTATAACAGTAGAGTAGAGCCAGGTAACTTCACCAGGAGGGGAAATTTGCCACCTGTCCCCCTTACCAATTTGAAATGGGAATAATCTGTATACCCACCAAGGAAGAGTTCAAAAGTGTCAAGTTACTTGCAACCAGAAACAATTATTTGTCAACTGATCAACCAATCAGAAAAATTAATTATTATGACGAAGAACAATCACGGTGTTTTAAACATGCTTGTTCCCGCTTATCTTCCCTTTCCTCCTCTCTTGCCCTATTTCTGCTGCGCCTGTGCAATTTTTATCTTTCCGTGTCTACCTCTTACTACTGTTGCTGTACATAACATTTTACTCAAATTGTGTTGATTGGTTTATTGATTAAAATATTATATTTGCTGCACCTTATTGTCGTTTGTTTAATGAATGCCCTTTTACTGTAAACAAAATTATGTTTATTTTCACCTTCGTTAAAGGGGGATCTTACATCTTGTCGGGGAAATTCTCCTTATTGTCGGGGAACTTTGCCACACAGGTCTAGATTGCTTTTCCACTTGTTATTTTAATTAGATTTACCACTTTTATTGTGGGGAAACATGCAAGGCAATCAATAACAGGTATACTTAAACTTTATAAAGTGATTTGGAGAAAGCTGTTGAAGCTGTTTAAGGTGGACAAAGCTGCTCTGGAACAGCCTGGGAATTTAGTGTTCCCAAAAAACTCTTGTCGACCATGTCTATGGTCGATCTACTTTTGGAATGAAGGCTGAGAGGGAGAGAAATAAAATTGTTGACAAAATGATTGCAGCTGAAAATGATGGTTTCCCTTTAACGAGAAATCAGTTTTTACATGTGTTTAATAATCTACATGATAGGCCACGGCCTAGAGGTTAACTCACTTCAGACGGGTCACACAACAGTTGCGTGACCCCCGCCGCGACGCTCGCGGCGGGTCTCACAAGCCCTGCGTGACCAACTTTGGAATTTTTTTTTCGCTCTACAAATCACGCACGGATCGCGAGACCCGCCTCGTACCCTTGTTTGGCCAAGCCTGAGCTACTTAGACTTCGTTTCGTATCTCTGGGGCCGGTAGTTTTTAAGTTATTGAAGGTGAAGGACAGTGACCCCAACTGGGGTTGAACAGACCGGAACTCGCGCTTTGTTTTTTTCTATACAGCTGATAGTAATCCGACAGTCGCGTCGTAGTAACGGTCGAAGAAGTCGCATGAACAAGAATCACATACTTCTGTGCGTTTTACTAGTTCTAGTGTCTCAGAATATGATGTGTCTAATAGTTAGGATCCTGGATATATGTACCCGAACACGGCCCGAGTCGTAGTTCTAGGGCTAGATCTAGCACTAGTACCGGTGTTGTTTTTCGCGCAACGAAATCACAACGTCGTGCCGTACATCTGTCTCATGTAATTCAGTGTATGGGTCTGAATCAATGCACAGACCAGCTTTTATATTTTCACCAAACACTCGCACATGTATACAAATCAAACCAGAACACTTTGAACTTTTATTTTTGTTGTTGCAGTGAATTTCATTCTACTTGTGACGTCTCTGGAAATTTTTCGGAAAATCAAATTCATGCCAATTTTTAAAAAATCATACAATTAAAGTATTAGACTTAGACAACTTTAATTTTTTATATTAGATTAAGCTTGAATGTTACTTTACTGTGTAAAAAAATGATTACAATAGGGTAATTCTGAGAGTTGTGGTGATTTTTTGAAGTACCCCCAAAAACGCCAGTCTTCAACGCTTGTGACTGGTGAAAGGGCCCAGTCGCAAGTGAGTTAAGGTGTTGGCCTCTCATTCAAAGGTCCCAGCCCAGGGTTCGAATCCGGGTTGCAACCGAAAAATTTTCTTCTCTAAAATTGTCTCCTTTCACCTCCTTTCCTGCTCTCTAGCAATGTTTTGTTGTCTGCTTTCATTTCCACTTTCTGCCCCCACCCCCCTCACCTCCTTTGCCCCCTCCTCTGGGCTCCTGACTCTTTCTGCAGCCTTTCTACGACTACTGACTACTCCTTGGCTCCACTCCTCCTTACTGCTGTCTTTCTGCCACACCCCTGATCTTCTGGTAGGAAAGATCTACACACCTAGCCTTCTCAGACAAGGGTGAAAAATCTCGGAGGGCCCGTGTGCAAGTTGCGCACGTTAAAGATCCCTTGGTGGTCTAAAATCGATAAGAAGACCTAGATCTAGATCTAGATCTAGGCTTCGGCCGCCACCCGCGCAAAATTTAAAGGCCGGCACTATTTCTCCGAACGTTCGGGAAAATAAAGCTGGGCACTATTTCTCCGAACGTTCGGGAAAATAAAGCTGGGCACTATTTCTCCGAACGTTCAGGAAAATAAAGCTGGGCACTATATCTCCGAACACTCTGAAATATCATCCTTTCCCCCAAATTTCGGATATTATATAGATCTAGATCTATAATTATAGTATGGGCCTACCAAAGATTGTTCGTATACAATATGGTTCAATCGGTCCAAAAAATGTCCGCCGTAAATATTTATATAAAGAAATGCTACAATTCCAAACAGTTTTTCGCTATAGATATGACGTGTTGCCTATGAAGGGTGCTGCTTTTAAACGTAATGTGTTGTGTTCACTCGTGTGCTGTCTAGATCTAGATCTACGGAGGGTTATTGATAACGACACATAGAACTGGCATCTGCGTTTGTCACTGCTGCGACCAATGTACTGACACTGGCAAGCCCCTTAATGTGTGTGATTCCATAATTTACATGTAATATCCTGTACTTTTTTTAAAATTACGCACATTTAGGGTTAAAACTGCCAATCTTCTTCGGACAGGTGGACACACGCCCTTATTTGTTAATGTTTGTTGTTGTTTATGGGCTGTTCTAATTTTGATTTCTTTCTGTTGTGAAACCTTTCTTTTTCACGTTTTTACACTCATCTAAAAATCTCATCTAGACTAGCTGTTGAAAATTGAAATAGATATAGATCTAGACCCAAAAATTTGCTCCTGTGTGTGTGTGTGTGTGTGTGTGTGTGTGTGTGTGTGTGTATGTATGTGTGAGTGTTTGAGTGTGTCTGTGTGTTTGTTTGTTTTTTGGGCTTTATTTCAGCCTTTATTCAGTAACAGTTCAAAGTATACAAAAATAGAAACACAGGATCCATTCACTCCAGGACTCATGAGTCATTCGTCTCTTTCAGTTTCACTCTTTCATTCAATTCCCGTGTTCTCTCCCGCGGCTCATCCCCGTCCGCATGACTTTCATACCCCACCCCATCCCTCCAGGCACACACAAAGAAAATCTCACTTGTTCCCTGCGAACCATGGACAATAATATAGGCAAAACACCGCCTGAGCTGCATTCCTTTTGTTCGTGAGCTGTGGACCAGGCCAGGGGTGGTCAGTGTCGTCGTCTTGTAGTTGCTGTCGCCTGTGGATACACTCGCACATTCTTCCTTTCACCCGCTCTTTCACTCACACTGTCTCTCCATCCACAGTTCAGCTCGTCATACGTTCAAAAGTTGCCCACTAGTTATGTTTAGTTAGTGTGTGTACATGTGCATGATGGTGGTGGGTGTGTGGTGGGTGTTACTGAAGGTTGTCTGTAGGCGGGCTTGCCATGCGGTACGAGTTCCTTCCCAGACCAGAGGCAGAATGAAAGTTGGCGCCGAACTCTCGCAATAAATAGGCAAAAAATCACGAGACCGGAAGCCGAAAACCGTTCGGAGAAATAAAGATCGGCACTATTTCTCCGAAATTTCCTATCAACAACTGAAAATATTAGGACGTGTCCTGCGCGCTCATATGACCTTATGCAGTTGCGAGCGCTGTAAAACACTGACCAAAAACAAACAACAAAAAAAGAGTCAGAGTCAGACTGAGTCAGAAGTCACTGTCTAAGTTAGTTTACTTTAGTTAGAGTCTTAGTCAGACTGTCTTAGTAAACTTTTAGTAAGAGTTTAAGTCTAACCAACCTGGACAAGTCAAGGACTACGAGCTACAGACAGCAAACGCATTATAATATTTCAAGTCTTTTTTCACTGATAAAACTTAAGCCTACCTAGGCACTGTACATGACAAAGCTCCATTGTAACTGCCTTTGCTCATGAAGGGACATAGCACTGCCCTTCCAAGGTTGCGGGGACTCCGCAATCCGTACCGTATGAGCGCTGCCATTTTATTTGATAATAATACAAAAGATGTAACACAAACTTAGTTCTGCAGAACAAACATTTTTTTTGCATCAATTAATAGTCCTTCAGAATACCTTATGCTACTATTTATACTATTTTACGATGTGTATGAAAATAAATAAAATAAATAATTGAAAATACCGATATGTGTAGTTTATTGTAGTTAGTATCGTTATATTGTTTTCAATAGCTGTTAGAATCTACGATCTATTTCTGTTTTTACAATAAGCAATTCAGTTCCGTACTGATATAACGTTTGCTAAGTCTTATTTACTATTCACCAGACTAATTCACGACTTTGAATATTTCTACTGTAGACCCAGTCCTGTTAGATGAGGGTAATTTAATGGATCATTTTTAAATCATATACTGATTTTTTTTTTTAAAGAAAGGAGAAATGAATGAGACTAGTCATGATGACAAGGCATGGTAGCCCTGGTATTCTTGTGCATAAGGTTAGATTGTTGTTTTCGTTCTTCTGTGAGTGAGGGAGAAAACGTTGAATATAAAAAAAATTCCTCAACTCATCATGTGTATGAACAAAACAAACAACGTAGGCCAAGTTAGTACTGGTTTCTAGTTTATTTGGTGTCTCTTTTTGCCATTTGCACACAGACTAGTCTACTTTCCCCCCACCCCCTCACTCACTGATTGTTCCCGATCTCTTGTTTTGAAAAAATCTGTTGACACTTTTGCCATGGCTGATTTTGCAACAATATTAGCGGACGCAAAGGTTGACAATTTACATAAAGTTGTGCAAAATGGTAGACAGAAATATTTGTGTTTTACGTCCACAACGCAAGAATCAAAGGCTTGGCTTCTCGAGGTTTCTGATGGTATAGATATCTGGTTGCTCGAGCTTGATCAGGATGATCTTGAGACACAGAAAGACCTGAATAATACAGCAACAACTGATGCTTTTCTGACTAGAATAAGGTTTGAATTTACTTTTTATTCATCTTGTTGGATTTGTTATTTATTGGCTTTGAGTAGTCTCCGCCTAAGATCCGCCGCTTAAGATCTCGGTTGGTCCCGCTATTTTAAGAATTTTAAAACAGAATTTTTACTTCATAAGTCACCCGTAAGATCCCACTCTGATTCACTGTGTGAAGGTAGGCTATACATCTGGCTAAGATCTGGCATTTCAGATCATAATTAAATTGCAGTCTAACGAAAACGCGAGAGAGCACAGCCAATAAACCAAGAGTGAAAAGTTTCAAGAGATCATTGAGCTGCCCGTAGTGTCAAAGATCAGCCACGCTCCTGAATGTGATCACATATATAATATATATAAAAGCGTTGTAGAAGTCGATCAAATGGTACAAGAATGGGCGCTTTTTCGGTAGTTCCCACCCCGCATTTGTTATTCGCCGGTTTTGGCCCCAAGAGTAGGGGGGTTTCAGGGGGGCTTGCCCCCCTGACCTAATAAAAACAAGGTGGGGGGTTTCAGGGGGGCATGCCCCCCTGAATTTTACCACAATTTAATGTTTTGCAGTTGTTAGGTTTGACATCTTAGCTTGCCGCGAATCAAACGTATAGATCTAGATATGTAGGTCAGGCTCTATCAAATAAGGGGGGTGGGAACTACCGAAAAAGCGCCCAAGAATGTGTGTTTAGTTTAGTTTTGAAGTACGGCTGTGGTCAGGCTAGTCGCCTATCAGCCGTTCGTTGCTTTCATTGCTTGTTCCTTCCTGCTCGTTGTTTTCACACTCTGTTATCTGTAGGTTGGTGCTCATGGATCTGGCAGTTTGAAACCAATGTAGGTTCATGGAGAATTTATGTGCCTTCCAGACCGTGTCAATCCTATTCTTAAAAGCATTCAAGGATGGTGCGGACACCACATTTTCCGAGAGGGGATCACACAGAGGTGTGAATTGACCATGCCTTTGTTTTCCCCCAAACATTGCACTCGCATCTCAGCTCCCCACCTAAACTTGCATCACACACTGGGTGGGTAGGGCCTTCACTTCAAGTTTGCTCCTGGCAGGATCACATCGAACTGTAAGTACTGTGAACTGACCATAGCACTAAAGTTTTTGTCTCTGCCAAATTTGCTAGGCAGACTGAATTTTAATTGGTGTGGTCACGACGTAATGGTGCATAACAAAGAGGGGGGGAACTCGGTCAGAGATGGAAAACTACTGTATCGGTATATGAATTAAAATTTTGGACAGGTAAAGGGGAGGGGCAACTGGATAAGCGTAGATCTTGAGACTAATGAGATTCACAGTAGCATTATAATAATTATATTAAAAGTAAAAATGGTATGCCTGATGTTGTTGTTGTGATTGGTCATTAAGGTTGACAACTCTTTTCTCGCCATTTGTCATAAACCCTCCCAGGGGTTACGTCAGTTCATTTCAGAGTGAATTAAGAGACCATTTTACCGTTTGTGGTCACCGTAGATTCTTCCCTTAATTGTGAGTCGGCTAAGATCCCGTTTGCCTAAGATCCCGCATTTTCCCTGCTCCCGAGCACTGGGATCTTAGGTGGAGACTACTGAGAGATTATTCTACGAATGAAGGCATGATTCATGAATTCATGATATTTAAATTGGGATTAATTGCACTGGCTAGGGTTGAAGAGGAGGGGACTTGAATTTTAACATAATATATATATATAAATAGTGTAGGTAAGGCACAGGAAGGAATTTATAAGGACTATCTATGGCACTTGTTGTCAGGTCTCACTCTACAATTATCATTCATCTGTAGGTAAGGGAGCACATTGAATATAAAATTCCTCAGCTCATGAATAAACAAAACAAACATCGTAGTTTTTAATTATTTTATCTGATGTCTCATCTCCTTTAAAATTACCTTTAATTTTGCACACATTTAGTTCTTTTCCCCCTCACTCACTGATTAACTAGAGTATTCCTGAACTCTTGATCTGAAATACTATTGACACTTTTGCCGTGGTGGCCAATTTTGCTCTCATAAAAAAAAACAACTACTGTCAGATTCCATTTTGGAATTAATGGCATTAAATGCCATTGCCTACCTTGGGATGAACTTGAAGTGGTGGGGGTTTGCTACATCTGTATTTGTTTCATTATGATACTCTCTCTGTTCAAAAGCACAGACTACCATCTAGACAAGTGATAGAATAGACTGATAAAGACGAAAGACAAACTAGCCAGTCTTGCCTCATCATCTAATTCTATATATATACTCTGTCACATTTTTAAGTATACAGTCCACTCCACTTGTACACAAACTCAATAAAAATTGAAACGGGTGTACCGAATTCACTACATCTGTCATGACGGCTGTAGTGATGCGTATTCTTATCCCTGGCCCGAATAGTTTATAGTAAAAATATTTATGGTTTTAACGATCCTCCCCCCCCCCCCCCCCCGTGGTTAGTTTTGACCTAGCATTGATGAACCTGATGTTTTGTAACATTACGCTTTCACACAATAGTACGAGGCATCAGACACTAAGCGAGCAATCTCCGACATGATACTATTTTGATTATAACCTTACATGATAAGCACCGAAGCTCAATAATTATCTCTACAGTGAGGTTGAGTACTGGGATTATTTCCCTTGAATTTTTCTTCCAACGGCTGTTGGGAACTTCGGATGTAGCGATCATTTTTCTAGTCCCCCAACGAGATCGCTTCAAGCGTAGTCGACTGTACACATTTTAAAACATTTTAAATCTCAATTTTTAACAAATCTTTGCCACCAATTACTTTCAAATTTACGCACTGACTACTTGATATCCTGTCGCTGGTGAGCTGTTTTCAGATTTTTGAACGCGCAAGTGGTTTTGTAACTGCATACGAGTTACATGTTGTTGTTTTTTTGAGAATTACTCATAACACGGCAATGATTTGTTTAAAAAAGAAATACACGTCCTATCTTTGTCATTTTTGTAACAATTTGTCAGTGATAATACTTGTGTTGTCTACGTTTTATCATGCCAGGCCTAAGACTACTAAGAGTAAATGTGCGAAATCAGCTTGTTGGAATGATTCGCAGGGGTACCTCAGTACATTGTATCCACAGTTGCGAGACATTTTTATGTAACAAGGAGAACTGTGTACACAACAATGGATCGTGAAAGAACAACAGGATCATAAAAGGATCGACCCCGTCGACTTGGGAGAAGAAAAACTACTCTAAGACAGGATATTTCTATACGTCTGTCGCATCTGCGGAATTGTTTCAAAACGGCAAGACAAACCAGAGATGAGTTGAACTACATGCGACCTGCCAACTCAATATAAAAAATGACTGTATTGAGACGGTTGAAAGAATTTGGACTCCTAGCAAGGCGTCCAACTCGTTGCATCAGAATGACGCCCTACAACATCAGAAACAGGCATTCACATTGGTCTCGCCAGATATGGAATGACTACATGTTCTCCAACGCATCCAGGTTTATTTTGGAACGTCAAGATGGAAGAAAACGCGTATTCCGGAGAGTAAATGAGAGGTTCGCTCCTCAATGCCTATGTCAGACCAGAGCTTTTGGTGGTGAGAGTGTGATGGTGTGGGGAGGAATTACAGCAGCTGGCAAGACTCCGCTTGTGACTGTTCGTGGCAATTTGACAGCACACCAATACATTGACAAGATTCTTCAGCCACACGTCGTTGCAGCCATTGAAAACCAGGGACTAACCTTTATGCATGACCATGCCCCAGCGCATAGAGCTCGTCTAGCCTCCTGGTTCATACATGAAAGCAACGTCTTCAACCGTGGCGTGCCTACTCACATGATTTGAATTCCATTGAGCATCTATGGGACTTGCTCGATCGCAGCGTTTGAAGGAGACAGCGCCAGCCTAAGACTCTTCCTCAACTTGAGAGAGCTTTGCATGAAGAGTGGAATAACATCCCTCAACAGGCAGTGCAGCGATTGATTGATTCCATGCCGCGACGATGTTTGGCCATCATCAATGCTACTGATCCTGTTACTTTTGTAGACCACACCCACACTCTTGTAAGTCGGGAATAAACCTGTTTTGCTAACTTTCTGTATTGTTGTTGGGTTTTTCGTTGTTAAAATTTATTGAATTAATATTCCTGAAATTTTAGAAAATATCGGCTCTTTGTGAAACTAGCAATTTTCATTTTAGCCCTGTTTTTACTTTAAAATGTGACAGATATATAGTCTGTCTTGTGTGACTTACATGGGCAGGGAAAAACATATATGATGTACAGTTCTAGCTGAACTTTACATCATTTCAAAGTGAAAATTTCTATCAGATCAGAAGCTAGAGTAGAGGTGTCAAAGTCCATTTTTAGACAAGAACAGTATCCTTGGTGCGCTGCTTCAGACCTGTCACATAGTAATACTAATAGACTTGAGGATGAGACCTCACAAAATATTTTAAAAGCCTCAGGAGCGCCTATCAGCCTTTAGGTCATCAGGCTGATTTCTGGCTATGCCTGTGGGCTGAGATGGTGTGGTTCCTGTGAAGTTTCTCCAAACGCTTTTCAAATCTAATTCCAAAATTAAAAGAAAAATATTGACCAAAGCCTGAAAATAAAATAGCATTTTTGTAACCAGTGTATCAAAATTAGTCTGATTCATGCTGGGAAGCTTAACTCCTTGACTGCACTATAAGCGTATCTCACAAGCCTCCATAATCTGCTGCCCAGTGACAAGAAAATGTGGCAGCTAAACCCTGTGTCTTGTTTTGATGATATTTCAGCTTCTATTGCTAAGTTTTGAATAAAGAAAGTGACTTCCTTGAAAGTTTATTGCTTTAGCTATGAGCTCATACCTTAAGACACTTGGACGGGGAAAGCAGTTTCTATATAACTGAAAACAAAGTTAAGTGTGTTTTTCTTACACACATCGTGCCAGAGCTGACTTGCTGACTCAGAATGCTTGTTCAGTCTCAGTACTTTTATACTTGTTTACATGGTTATAGATGGCTTGTTCTACCCAAGTCTTGTCTGTGGATAAAGACATCTCTTCATTTCTCTTTCTAGTTTGACATGTAGCCTGAGCTAAGGTGAGTTGTCTTTCTCACACACATAGTGGGGTGCAGACCCAACACTGAGAATCGGAGCATGTGTTCATTCTTTGTTTGTACTTTCAAGTTGTTCACATTGTTATATGGTTTGTTACATATATGCAAGTTGTATCAATAGATGAAGTCATCTCTTCTTTTATCTTTCATTTGGTCTTAGATAAGTGTTACTGATCTGTCTCTGAACAACCTTCGATTAAAGATTGTAATCTGTAACATCTTGTGCTTGGTTGAATTTTCCTTAGCATGTGGGGTGCATATAATAGGGTTAGCAGTCAAAGGGTTAATTTGAAACTCTGAGTTACAAACTTATACACTCTTCTTCAACACACAACACATTACAAAAATATTGTGTTGGCTTGCGTCACATTACTCTAGTGTTAGTCTTTCCATATTCTTTGTCACCATCTGGAAATGTGAAATTGCTTTTGCTCATAAAATAAATATTACTTGACTTGTGTGAATCCCTTTACCTTCTGCCATTTTGGTTCGGTTCTATTGAATTGTGCACACTCTTCTACTTTCTGTGATTGTACTCTGAAGTGATATAAATTATTAAAGTACTGAATAAAAAATTAGCAGGCCAGTGCTTCCTGAACAAGGAAACAATAATTATGAATACGGTACATGTTATTGCCTGTGTGAGAAAGAGAGACAGAAAAAGATGTGTACCTGAACTTTAATGTGTGCAAACACAGTACATACCGCCCCCCCCCCCCCCCCCCCCCCCCCCCACACACACACACACTCATGCATACAATGCACACACAGACGTTGATCATACACGCTCATGATGTATACCATATGTAGACTAAAAGGTCACACTTGTGGACTCCCCCCCAAAAAAAACAGTAAGTTAATAAATCTTGTTCCTGTTCATGTTTATTCAACTCTTCTATAAAAGTAGCAACAGCATTGTAGTTTCTTAGGATAATTATTTTGAGAGCATCAGAGTGGAGGAGGGAATGAGAAACCATAAATTCTGATGTCTGTTTTAAATTTAGCACTTTTTGATGATGATCAATTTAGTTTATTCCTATGCTTGAATAAGGAAGTCCACATACTCACCACCTTTTTTTTCTTACTTTTAATCATTATAATAATATTCTTTGTACTCAAAGCGTGGGCATGAAATAGCGTAAACAATAAATATAGTAGGAAAAACAAATAGCATCAGAGAGGTTATATCTAATTTATTGTGACATCAAATTTCATTTACTGAAGTAGCTGTGATGATGAGAGAGAGAGACAGAGAGAGAGAGAGAGAGAGAGAGAGAGAGAGAGAGAGAGAGAGAGAGAGAGTGGACATAGTATGGGAGTTGGCCAACAACCTCTTTATAAATTATAAGCTGAGGGCAATAGGGCTTTGTGTAGGACCAGCTCCTGTTTATTGCATATGTCACAGAAGTGTTCAGTGGTAGCTTTAGCCTGCTCACTTCAGTTGCATGTGGGAAGTCTGTAGTGGCGTGGAGGCACATCTGGTATTGTTGCAATGTGTGTCAGTGTGCTTCCTCTTCTGCAGATATAACATGCTATGCAACATGTTGCCACCATTATACTAAGTTTGGTCAAGGTAAAGTTGTAGGAGAGACTGGACCCTGGTGGAGCAAAAGAAATGAAAAGGCTTCTATGTTAAGAAAAAAAACAGCTGATCCGAACAGAGGTAAATAAAGAAATCAATGTAAAAAACTAAACCTGCTAAACGTTTGAGATTCTAAACTCAACTTTCATTTTTAAAAGTGGGGAAAAAAATTGAAAATAGTGCTGAGCCCGAGAGGAAAAGACATAAACCAATCAAGTTTGTACCAGTGTTCCACTTGTTTCAACAGGCTTTGGCTAGAGGGCATAAGTCATGTAAAATCGTGACACAATTGTCCATCTTTTTCATCTCCCCTAGTAATATTATAGCCTGAAATTCCTACGTAATGAAAAGATTTGTGAACCCTGTGAATTTTGCTATGGATGTGCCGTAATATATGCATACAGTATGAAAATTCCATGTAACACATAATACTGGTATAAATGTGCCAAATGACTTATTCTTGCTTTGACCTACATTTTACAGAAATGGCTTCACTTCTGGGGACATCAGCGTAGCACGTGTGGGAACAAAGCTCACTTTGACTGTCGGAAAAGGAGGATCAACAATTTCCCTCGACCTGTTTGAGGCCAGAGCTGCGGAGAAGAAAAACGAGTTCCAGTCTATTTTGTTTCGCCTTGCAGAAAGCTGTTCTCACTTGGAAACCCAGCTGACAGCTGCCAATCAACAAGTGGACGCTCTCAAGGCTCAGAAAGCGTCAGGCCGAGGGATAGATGCACTAATGGACCTCAGCCCCAAGAAAGGAGCAGGCCAAAACAAAACTAAACAGAACAAGGCTGGGATGAGTGTTATAAACCCCAGCAGTCGGAAGAGAAAAGCGGCTACGGGTGTTGTTTTTGGGGACTAAATAGATTTTAACAAAACTCCATTTTGTAGATTTAGAACTTTGGGATTAAAAGGTGACAGTAGAATTAAATTACATCAGGTTGATCATTAGCCTTTCCTTTTTGGTTTCTAGTGCAGTGGAGATTACTGAATCTGAAAGCAGTTTTTAAATCAATACATCTGAAAGTAATGGTAGTCCGAAAGGGAACAGAATCCTTTTTTTGGGTATTTTTTTCCTTCTTTGTTTGTGTAAGAAATCTACAGCTTAAGCAAAAAGCTCCTATTTGTGTATGTAAAATATTTTGAGGTGTATGTTGTCTAATTAGTAATTTGTCACTAGCAACTACTCAAATAACACAGTTAATCAAGTTTTTCTTGCTCCAATATAGCCCATTTATACGCCTACACACTGTTAAATGACACCAGGATAGTGAATATCGCTGGTGGAGTGATGAAACCTCGTAACCCCAGAAAGGAAAATTTTACAGGAGAGACAAAAAACTGATTTACTCTTGATTAAAATGACCTATAGAAACCAAAGTTGGTACAGATAGATAAAAACACGTTAGAAACGTGGTTAGCATATAAAAACAACTTTTATATTGTTTATGTGGTTACGCTGTGGGATGCGAGGTTTCATTACACCATTTTTGTCGTGATGAAACCTCGTAGTCCGCCGGCGGGTGGGTTGCGAGGTTTCATCAGGACAGAGTTTGAGGGTTGCGAGTTTTCTCGCTGCTCATTTTGGATGCAGTAAGCGTCTGTTGTTTGAAACGCAACCAAGTGATAAAGATGTTTATTCTAAACCAATTGGTTTGGAGTTCGATTCCCGGCCAAATGAAGTCAAATAAATGTGTGTTACCTGCAGAATTTATGTTTCAATCCTCAAACGGATTGCAATTAATGCAATTTGTTTCACTATAA